ACACACACACAGAGTCACAGATGAAAGAGAGCCACTGAATCCATCACTTCGCAGCTCGACCACACAGCGGCAAGATCAGTCAAGAAGTCAATTAATCACCTCTGCATCCTTTCTGCCTGATCGATTCACTATTGAATGCCAGGAATCTGGACATTAAAGGAGGAGCGCGCTCGCAGCAACYGGGCCGCATTTGTCAGCTCGCAGATAGTGAGAGCAAATCAATAGCTCACAAACTCAGCGATATGATTGGTGTGTGTGTGCTCCTTTTGATTCTGGTGACACTCGATACAAGAAAACCCACCCATTGATACCTGAACAGCCTGATTAGATTTTACAGCTTAATCAGGTGTTTGTTTTAGGTGTTACACTCTTTTGTTTGTTTGTTTTTACTAAAATGGAAAGCAGCATGTACCAGATAGGGCCGAGATTTATAAACATTCATCAWAGGGATAAACGTCGGATTAATTTAGAGGGATTATAATTTATTTGAACAGTTTTTTTAAGGCTGGAATGACTACACGACATGAAACTTAATTGATTTTTCTAAACAATTATTAGAAGCACAAATTCCTACAGAAGCAAACAGATTCACACATTTACCCCGAACTTTTAATAAAAGGGTCTAAAATAAGAGTCTCTAACAGGTGGACTGAGGTCCATATCTGGATTAAAGTAATATCTGGACCCAGATCTGTTCCTAAATTAGGCTCAGTTTTTCATTGTAGTTCATTTTCCACAGTGTGCTTATGATGGGGAAAATGGTCCGGGTGTGGCCTGTGGTTTCTTTCTGTTGCCAGCCCACAGAGAGGCACGGGTCTGAAAAGACAATAAAGTGAGTGAAGAAAACCAGCACGGCTGTGACTAAAAATGTTCTGGACCAACTCAGAGACCACTCAGGCCTAAGCCTGCCATGAACTGGAAACTACTGGAACACCTGTGCTACTGCTTCTGGAATGACTAAAAGCCCTAGCCTCCAACTTCTTAAGCTTTTATGGACTACGATTAAAAGCTAAACTAATCTAAAGAAACTCATCAAAAATAAGACCCATATCGTTAGAGATAAAGTCAGATTTGGTCAAACTAAACTGGGCATATTGTCAGATTCCTTGCTTTTAAGCTATGTTTTGACACCTTATATGAGTGTCTCCAGAGATTCAGCTTCATTTGTCTTGGTAATTGGGAAGACCCCTGGAAAATAGTATAAAATTCCATTCTTAACATATTCTATTGAATATTTCTTGACAAGAAAGAGCAATAAGGATGTGAATGAGGAAACTCCAAACTATGTTTGGCTGGTACTGAAAGTAGCTTCAATAGCGCATGGAGAAATAGCAAAAATCTTTATTTTCTGATCAAAGTTACTGTTAACTGTTGGTGTGGCCCAGAAAATGGGTTCCAGACWTTCTTTATGATCACATGTCCTTCAAGAGACCCATAGATAGAGTATTTATTCAACCAATTATTATTGCTAATTATTTTAACTAATCCACCATAGCCGCCTGAATCTCACTATATCAACTTGCAACTTGATCCTTGGTTCCCATGAGTCCCACATCGACTTGAAGGGGTTTAATGAAATGGTAAACAACCTGAACTTACATAGARCTTTACACTTCAGTCATTCACACACTGATGGTGGTAAGCTACATTGTAGCCACAGCTGCCCTGGGGCACACTGACAGAGGCGGGGCCGCCATGCATCAAGGCCAACATCAGCAGACATGTATTTTGATAGATTGATTGATGATGCCTTTATTGTCACTGTACAGAGCACAATGAAATTACATTTATTGTTTGTATGTAGTCATTCCACCCTTGAAAAAAATTATTGAAGCCAAACTTCAGAAGCCCAATGTTAATTTGACACTCGTGTCCCTGATGAGTAAAAACAATCCAACAGTTTATTGGAAGATGTTTGAGGCATATTGGGACAACATTTGAAACCTTTTTTCTATTTTTCAGGGTTTTAAATAACAGTAAAAAGAATTGTTGTGCTGGTTACCAATCAAGGTTTCTCAACTATTTCATTCTTAAGTTATTTACCCTTTTTCCCATACATAACTTTTTGTTTTAACCAATAGTTCTTCTTCATTCTGTTTTGTTTCTGAAGCGGCGACRACGCCTTGAAAAGATCTGAGCCTGGATTTTAGTGTTGTCTTGTTTTTTTTTTTCTTTTGTTTTGTTTTGCTGAAGACTTTGACCTTGATTGACAGTGTGAAGCACCATGAGAGCAAAGTGAGTTAACTGCAGCCTGCAGGTATTTGAGTCTATCATGTGGACATGTGTGGCTCTTCCTGCTACCTTCTGCAACGCTGCAGAGGCTGAGCGAGTCTTCAGCATCCGGACTCGGCTCATTTGAGAGCCGCGGGCTGAGAATAGCACCGACTAGTGAGAAACAGAGGTGTGATTTGAGTCTAACAAAGCCCTTGTGAGGCWTTTTTTTTCTTCTTCTTCTTCTTTTTTTGAAAGACGGCCCTTTTTCACCAGCTCCTCCTTTTCGGAGCCTGACAGCCTCTGCAGCCGTCACACCTGACTCTGAAGGGAGAACCTCTGCCTCACCTCGTTGATAATTAGCTGATGCGGCCGATAATGAATCTGTCCGCCAGGCCTGCCGACCCTGTTCTGATCAGAGGGGTCCTCATTACTGACGGCTTGGCTCCGCCGGCTTCCTTCCGCTGAGTTTAATTAGTGCATAAACTTCTCGGCTGTCTGAAACGGCCCGTTATCTGGCTTTAAAGTCCAGCATCAGAGACGTCCCTCTCTGGGTAATTGGGAGCAGATGCTTGGCGAGTAACGCAACGAAAATACCCCAAAGGCGCTTGGCAGCTCTGTCGCCAGGCGGGACTGGCAGGCAGGGCCCGTGATGCTCCTAAGAGCGACGTAGAGTCTATCACCCTCCACCCGAGGATCCAAAAAAAGAAAATGGCAAACCTCTTTTTCTGTTTTTTTTCTAAAGTAGCAAAAGTGTGTCTGACTCTAAGAGCCGATGGGAGCGGAAATGAGATTGGTCCAGCAGTATTGACTTTGAGCAGGCGATGAAGAGGGGGAGAAGGCAGGGAGCTTTGTAGCGAAAGGAGGTCCAGACTTGGGCTAAACTGAGCAGAAATCCAATCAGTAAACAACACAAAGTTCAAAAAAGATCCAAGCTCGGAGGCAAGCTGGGAGAGCAGCGTGTCAATGATTGCGTTTGCAAGTTATCTCCGRTTTTTGTTAACCTCGGGGGCGTCGCTCCTCGTGGCTCAGGGAGTTCGGCTAATTGAGAGTAACGCCAACCCTTCAAAATGTGGCAGATGGCACTTTATTTACCTACAAATATAAGAGACAGAGGAAAATGCCTGCTCTCAAAGCGTGCTGATTAGTGAGGGCGGAGAAAGATCAGGCGGTTGGAGATGTACTAAAGCAGAAACTTTYCTTTTTTCCTCTGAAGGAGTGGAAATGGAAATGAATGTTAGATTCTAGTGGCTCTGACCTTAGCCTTCTTAGTGCTGTACGAGTCCAGCCACCTTCCCACGGCGCTTATTCCTCTCTCATTAAAAAAACATCTCTTTAAACAGAGAGCGGGCCAAGTTGCCGTGGCAACACCAYCACAGAGATGCTATTTTAGTGCGGCGTGTAACTTTGATATAAAGGTGCAATCATACCAGGGCTGGACGCAACTAAATAATACCTCAGTTATAACTCCCTACTTTGTCTAAGTGCTTTCGCTGGTGACCATTAGGCCGTGTTACCATGGTGACACTTTCCCATGAGATCACAGAATGTTCAGCCGAGTGGAAAGAATGATGCCACGCCATCAATTCACYATTATCCTGTAACATTAAAACGAAAGAAGCCCGTTTAACCAATCTTTAAGTTGATGCTGGACTGATGAGTAATAACATGTGTTAAACTCCAGGCCCGTGGGCCAAATGTGGACCGCCACAGCATCTCATGTGGTTTCCAAGAGCTTCATAGATGTATTCAAGTCTAAAAATAAGCTGCTTTAAARTCACAATTGACCATAACAACATTTCCCCTAATGCATGTAGATTATTTTAACCGCAAAATGACAACATCCCGCCACTAGGTGGAAGTGCACAGAGTTCAAAAGTAGCTGATAAAACCTGCAGTGTAAAATCTCCACTTAGCTATATTTTTGCTGGATACTTTTGCTGCGGTAGTTGAATTTCCCACTTACGAGTCATGAATTTAAACTTGAATGGCCCTTCAGTGAGAATTCCCTGTCAGAAAGTGGGCAGCCTCTCTGTCAGTGTGACCCAGGCCTACAATGTAGCTTAACACCTTAAGTGTGTGAATGAATAATGTCAAGCATATTTGAGTGTCCTAAAAAGGATATATAAGAAAAATGCATTATTTTTATCATTATTATTATTAAGTCCCTTACCTTTACTTTTAATAGTATTTCTTTACTTCACATCTAGTCAGTCTTACACATGGTACTTTACAGTGTTTCTTAGAGGAAATGCAGAAAATTCCACGTGGAGCTCAGTTGTTCGTTTACAGTGCTCAGCAGTAGCAATGAGACAAAGAACGTGACGTTTCTCATTTAGTTGAAGTTAAACACAAAACATTAAATTACAACTGGCCCTTCGAGGGCTTCCATAATGCCGTTGTGGCCCTGCGGCTCTGTGAAAGTGAGTTTGATGCCCCTGAGTTACAGTCTCGCACTCGTACCTATGAAATGGTCAACTCTCATTCAATATTTCTACATCTCTTTAAAGACGGAGCTTTAAGTGTATTCAGCATGAATGATGAAAGAGGCACGAGCAGGAAGAGCCAGATTGTTGTGGCTGCGTATGGCACGTTACTGAGGCCCTTGCTTGGTAAATGAGTGGTTTGTTTTTATGTCTTCAGACTCCAATCTTTTAAACTACAAAACAACATCAAACAAGAGGTGAAAGCAGAGTAAGTCAGGCAGAGACAATTTTCATTCTCTTTGTTCTGAGTTTACTTAAACTTTTCCTGTATGTGCAGTAAAATACCACCTGATGTCTCATTACCTTTGCAATAGCGGTTTGCTTGTACATCTGTGTAACCAGGCTCATGACCTCGGTGAAGGGGTTATCTGTAGCAAAAGCCCCCGATCTCTGTCCCTTCATCAGCTCCTCCCACTTTGCAAAACTGGCAGAGGCCTCCTGCAAGCAAAGGAGAGCACAGACAGTCAGGCTGCATCCTTCTGTTCACCGTCCAGTCGTCCCTTCGTCCTCGCACTCTTGTTCTCTCCCGTTATTGAGATATAAAGGGCAAAACAATTAATAGCGCTGCCGGGTGTCCTACTTTTCCTGGAAGGAGAAAAGAAAAAGGGAAACAAAAAAAGAGGGAGGGATGGAGAATTCCCAAGGATGCTTCCCCCTCCCTCCCTCCTCACTCCGACCGGGCTGCTGTGTTAGTTGGGTCACGAGCGTCTCCCAATTATAGCCGCTTCTGTGACAAGCCGGGGTCGAAGATGGAGAAGCAGCCCAGCCGGTACAATAAATCAAAAAGGTGCCTCGCGTGCTCTCAAGGTGATTGGCGAGGAGTATTTAAGGCGGGAGTGGAGCTCGCAGCTCCCGCCTGCTCATAAACAAGACACACAGAGGGACTCTGAGTTTGTTTTACCAACATGTAGTCAATCATGAAAGTGGAACTCAAAGGAAGTTTTAATTAAAAACACTTTGTTTTAATCAGATATTAACAGATATCCGATTAAAGTCCTTGAAGGAATGCATATCAAGATTGAAACAAAAACCATTTTGTGTCGAAAAATAAAAGAACTGGAGCCATTTTGCTTGGGGAAAAAAAGATCTCAGAATATGTTTTGTGAATGACTCTTATCTATGATGACAACAAAGTGTTAGCACAACATCAAGTAATCCAATTATATTCATTTTTGTTGTTAAATGCATTGGCAGCCAGGTTGATTTGGGTTGCCTCCAAAAGTTGATAAGTTATAGATGTAGACATACAATTTGTTAGGGCTCAAAAAATGTGCTGAGCATGAATCTTAGCTACTACCACACCAAATTTTAGCTTAATATCTTTACAATTGACAAAGCTTTATCCAAGTACTTCTTTGAACCAGTTATGTCACTAATAGTTATTTTGCACAGATAATTAAACGACTCTGAACTTATGCTATGAAACAAAAATGTGAAYAAATGCTTTTTCTCAAGACGAGGTTTAGCAAATATGCAAAACTGTGACGCATTTTGTCAGATGACAGAACACATAGGTGGGTCAAAACTGATTAGGTACGTTAAGAATTAATAATTATTAAGATCCATCTGYCCTTCTGTTCCAGTGTCAGGTCTTGGGGGCAGCAGCTAGATCAGGGATGCCCAAACATGTCTTTTCACAGCCAACTCTTCCAGGTTTTCTGGGAGGACTCCAGGGTGTTCCAAGACCAGCTAAGAGACATAATGGCCCAGTCGACCAGGCCTTACTCTACCCCAGCCTTGGCTGCGTTTGCATTGAATAGATAGCCTCATCAAGTGGGCGGGATTCATTTTGGTCCTTCTCAAAAAATTAGCATATTGTGATAAAGTTCATTGGGCCTCATGCAAGAACATGTTCGTATTCTTATCCTAAATTTCTCTTACTTTTGTTCATACGAAGGGTTCGTACGAACATGTCATGTCAGATTCAACAAACTCTTCTACCTTCAGGAAAAGTGTGTAAATGAGCTGCGTAAATTGCACCTGTTCTATCCAGCTGCTCGTGCACGCGAGAGGAGATTAGCATAATTACC